ACACACGCGCGTGAGAGCAGTGTATGAGAGTTTGTGTGTCACCTCTCCCTGTGTGAACCCTAAAGCCTCACAGATTAGAAGGTAAATAAAAAGAATCCAACTATGCAGTGTTTCTTTTTAACAGGGGCTCAGTCAAATTTATGTTAATTTGAACGTTTGTACTGCATAGTTCTGATTGATTGCAGTTGAACTTGCTTGAATATGAGTAATTTTACCAGGAGTCCCGTATTCAGCATAGGGAAATATGGTCACCCTATTTTTAATGCACCCCGGATGGCTCAGCTAAGGGGAAAGGCAGTGGACTGACCCTCCGCCCCACTGCGTGTGCACTGTGTGTGATGGCTATGAAGTTCTTTGTCTCCCCCCCCCACGGATTTATTGCATTATGCATTTTATATATAGTCCTTTGTGCCAAATTTGTTCAGGTATTTTATTGCTGTGCTAGTTAGTTGGTTCAGCATTAATTATTTCAGTAGCTTCACTAAACCAAGTAAAAATGCTTCTATTTCCTGAATGCACTAAAGCACTTTACAGTTTGAATCTTCATAATGAAATTTGGAAATCTTGTGAATACTCGAAAACCTGTGATTCTGTAGCCCAAGCTAGTTTTTGAAATATTAAAAATAAGGTACTGTTATGGCTGTTTAGTTCTGAGTCCACTCTGCCCTTTCTTAAAAATTTAGGGCCAGCTCCTCAGCTCAATGATCAGCTGAGGTTCTCTGATTTAGAAATCCTAGATCCTTTGGACTCGAGGTTTCTTGGAAATTCTATGAAATAACGTGTGCAAACAATTCAACTTTCTATGGTGGCATTTCCGCTGGGAACCAGTTTAATTAAAGTGATGCTGGTAGATTTCATTCACAAAACAGGTAAGTAACCAGTTTATGCAAATAGATTATTTATTGTAAGATTTGCACCTCACTGAAGCAATTGTCTGTTACCTTATTCATAATGGGCTAGATTAATACTTTGTTTCTAGTCCAGGACACAGGTTGTCATATAACTGCACTGGCACAAGCAAAGCTCCAAAAATGAATTGTGACTCAGAGAGACACCTCTCTGAGTCAAATTTCGCCCTCACCTTGTATTCCATGACAGGCAGCTGAAGTATGCCACATCAATTGCACTGCCAGATAGAGCATAGTCCCTGCCTGGCACCTAGTCACCACTGCCAATTGAAACATGGGAAGGGTGGAAGAGTGGAAATATGACTTCATCTAGTCTCTTGCTTTTGTCTGTTAATCCCCCATTCCTTCCTTGTCTGCTTTGTTGTGATAGGAAATAGTGGTGTGTCAGAGAGTGCTTCCCCTGATTGCATCCAGACTCCCTATCCCAGCAAACCCTATATAATTGTGCATGGTGGGTGGAGGATGGCTTAGTCACCTGCACGACTGCAAAGTAGTAGGTTATAATCTAAGACATAATACGTTGTTTTATTTTGCTCTGCTCTTTGAGCATCCTATATCTAATGTAGATTTTTAAAAGTAGCGTCTTTAAATTGGGCAATCAGATAAAGGGAATAAGGCTGTAGATTGGGTTTAATAAGTGACCCATTCAGCACACGTGAGTCTACTCTGTTACGGGACTGCCAAATTGCATAAGAAACCCATCATGTTTCTGAAATGTTACAATCTGCTATACCCTGGTATACTAAAGTATTATTTTTCCGATGCAGATGAACAGCATGAAATCTACTGCTTGAGGCTGGAAAAAGTAAAATATTGAGTCAATGAAAGCAGAACAGTGAGGAAAATAGCATTGTATTCTATTTTCTGGAATTATCAAAACATTACTGTCTCGTTCCTCAAAATGCCAAAATGATAATGAGAGTACAAAGAAAGAATAAAGTGCAAGTTAAGAAGTACATATTTAAGATCTATTCAGTTACCAATAATGCTAGCATTGGAGCTTGGCTACCAGAGGCCATAATGGTTTCCTGTTTAACATATTTATGTTGGTTGTAAAATTAGGACCTGTCATTATAGCCCCACATCACCTGCATAAGGGCAAAACACATAAATCAAGAGGCGTTCCAGCGCCATAAAAATGACATTGAACTGAATGGCATGAAACACGTACAATATATTTATGTACATGGATACCATGTACCAAGACACACGTGTGGATTTTTAGTGGATTTGATTGACAAGTATTAAAGGTATGATTATCGAGTCCAGTTTGCATTTTCACACGTCAGCTTACTTATATTGGAGTATTTTAATTTGAACTTTGAAACTGAAAGGGTCTAAAGTGCAAAAGGACAGATGAGCTGTTACTAAAAAGGCTTCTGAATCACAGATATTGCTTTAAAACTCCACATGCAGATCATTTAATGATTTCTGTTTGATCATATCCATACACCTTATTCAAGTTATGTCATATGCATGCTGAACAACCATCACGTGCAACTAACACTGTAGAACTGGAAGCAATAATCAGTAAATCAGCTACATTTAAAAATATGCCAGTGGATTTTAGGGAGTGGTGTATAGAAATGGAACATTAATCAGAAAAAATATCTGAGTGGTGATGTCTTTAGGCTTGGTGTGAAAAATAAATCACAGTCTAGTTGAAAGAAAGAGAACCAGTTAAGTTTTGTTTGTTTGTTTGTTTTAAACAATGATCATATAAAAAGAAGAAACAATGCTTAAGGAAAACCTGTAGATTTTTCCCACTTGGTTTCTGGTAAACCATAAATGAAATGGCTAGATTGTGTGCAGTACTTACCAATAGTAATCACAGTGAGAACACTGATAACCTTTACAATGCTGTATATTTTACTCTATCTATAATTAAAACTAAAATTTCCCAAACAAACATGGCTGCACGTCCTATTCATGCTAACTACTCAGGGCATTTCAGGGGGTAGGGAAGCTAGATGGATTGGATCGTCTCTAAATATGAGCCTGTGTGTGGAGGACTGCGGGAGGAGTTAAAGAATAAGAGCCATGAGTAGGGAAAGAAGACCGGTTCATTTGCAGACGCAGTATTCCTAAAGAATTTACAATGCTTTGAATTTTGTCCCTAAATCATATACTTGATCAAAATCCTGCAAATTACAGGCATTAATGTGGCTATGGGAAAAAGAGAGAAAAAAGCATTGATGAGCAAAGCTATTCAGGGTCAGAGAAGTGGGGGTCAGTTTGTGGAATGAAAACCAAAAATAAATTGATTAGTAAGAAACTAAGTCAAGTACAAGTATAATATTGATGTGACATATCTCTTCAGCTATTATATGGAGTAAAAGTGCATAACTGATTATGACATAAAAATCTATTGTCTCAATTCAGTGTGTAATGAAAGAATCTGGGAAAACCCCATGCATTTGTTTTTAGCTGTTTTTATGTATGGTCTTGGTTTCCTTTCAGAGAGTAGATGAAGATGACATGGAAATATTAGATTTGGAGCAGTAACCATTTGTAACTGTTATAGGCTGTTGCCTGAATCTATTAACAATGAAGTCACTTGTGTGTCCAGTATAAATAGTTTAGAATTTCCTGCAAGGAAATTACATGAAGCATCAGTAAGGGGTGACATTACACTTATAAGTCAACATCCCTGTCATTACTTGACGTATACCTTTGTGTGCAGATATCAGATTTGGCACCTGATATCACTGAAAACTCCGACAAATTGTTGATCTAAAATTAGATTTCATTGGACAATTGATAATCAGCCTGCTAACAAATTAGCCTGTTCAGTAACAGCTTTGGACTACTATGTTGGTCTAGTACTCTATATTTGTTGTTACCAATTACAAACTTTATCCCTGAGGTTGCTTGGCTAAATACATTGAGTTAGATTATGTCTTCAAGGCACTGTGATGTGTAGAGATGCAACACTGTCTCTTGTGCTCCAGAGGCACCTTTCCATCAGGGTCTTAGATGTGAATATGTGAACATGTCTGCCTTCTGCAAGGGGGGAGGGGAGTCTCCTTAACCCATCTCCCCTCTTTCCACCTCCCTTGTCCCCAATTGCCTCAAGCAGAGCTAGACGTAAAACAAAAAGCTCTATATCTACAGTAGGTTACTTCCTCCACTGCTTAGCTGTGATTAGGCATCTATTACTGTCTTCTTGTTCCTGGCACACCATATGAAATCGAGATTAACGAAAGTTCTACTGTGTGATTTCTTGATTTTTCTCTTATTTTAGTCATCATTGCCTTTGAAATCATAGCTGCAAGTTATTCCCTTTCTATTTTTAAAACTATTAATTTTAACAAATAGTATGGAGATTGCTGTTTGAAGACACAGCAGTTACCTTGGTATCTGGGATATTGCAATATTTCCTTATACTTACAATAGGAAATAGTTTTGATGCCTCAGATATCATAGTGAGGAAATTGTTTGCAAATGGTGACTGTTTCAGGCACTTCTGTCCTTCAGTTCATTTTCAAATGAAGGAGGTGGCATGTTCAGAAAGACATCTTTCTTATCTTTACAATTATGGAGTAATTTTTGGTTTTTGTCTGCACATTTGGGTGCACATGCGTTATATTTAGCATCTTCTACTTTAATATTTCTTATTTTTTACCACACCTGGTCCATAGTCTCAGCAATATGAACAAAGAAACTTCTATCGGGACTTGGGCCATATTTGTATAGCTGGGTGGTTCTCAATCTATTTACCAGCTCTCTATATGTTATGTGGGCCACATCCACACAATATGTATGCTACCTGCATGGCCCTAAGGGTGTCACATGGGCTGCAGCTGTGTGCTGATTGGGCCACAGGTTGAGAGCTGTTAGTATTGCATGTTCATTTTCATAGTTCCCAGGCACTTTAGCAGTTTTGAAAAGAATAATATTAAGCCACAAAATTCAAATCACTGAAAGTTATACAGTGATTTTACTTACTATAGTGCAAGGCAAAGTTGTAATTAACACTAGTGGTGTTTAAAAATGCAAGAGTCCATGTCTATAGTATCTTTCCAGTGGTGTAATCAGGGATACAGTGTGACTGAATGTGCAGACATTGGAACATAATTGTTTTTTATTCAGTTATAGGTGCGCAGCGCAGGAGAAGCCCCAGTGCCCTTGCCATTGAAGTATTTGAATCACATTTGGGAAGTCACATTTTACAGGTAAAAATAATGGCTTTACCAAAATAATCAACATAACTAGACAGTAACAATATGTAATATTTCTGCCAATTATTTGAAGCTGTTGTTATCAGGACTTACATTTGTGAAATTTTTTTATGGATTCAATTTTTTTCTTTTTAGAAAGTCTCTGAGTGAGAGAAATTTAATGAGAGAGGGAGGGCAAGTATTCTTTGTGCTGTAGTACTTTAGATGAATCACGCTATGTAGTTATATTGGACTGTGCAGTAACTGTTGCTCACAGAATTACCGTGTGTGTTTGTGTGTGTATAAAACACTATTTTGTGTAAATAATTTGATTCTTGTTAAGTGTCCTGTTCAGATTTAGATTTTCTTTTCTCATTTTGGGTTACAAACACCATTTCACTTCCCCCACCCACAATTGTCATGACTCTAATAGTTTGAATTACAAAAATCTTCATAGAGAAGAAATAACAGCATGTCTTCCAGGTCTTAGTAGTAAATGAGATAAGAATAATTTGATTTTTCCCAAAGTATTTTATGACACTGTACAGTAGCTTTATGTGAAAAAGATTAGTTGAACAGAAATGATGTGATAGAGACATTCATGTATGTTATGTGTTTTGTTTTGTCAGGGCTTGGTGATTCCACAAAACATTTTTTAGGTTTTAGTTATCAGAGATGGAGTAGAAGCAGGTAACAAAGGCCACAGCAACAAAATGGGGAGTGTTTTGTCAATGTAGACTAAACAAACAAACAAAAAGCCTTATGGAAATAAGAAACCTGCTGTGCATATGGTCTTTTCTAACTGCAGCACTAAATAACTGCTGTTATTTAGCAGAAATTTCTGCTTCTCAATCCAAGTATGCAGCATGGAATATTGTCTTTTGATATGCAAGAGAGGCAAGTTAGGATACTATAATGAGAAATATTTCACTTCATCTGAAACAATTGAGAGGTATTTCTCTGTACTACCACAGCAGTAGCTTTCAAAGGAGCTATGGGTAATCTCCAGGTTTTCATACCTTTCTGCAGTTAGCTAAATGTAAAATGGTAACAAAGATAATTCTAGCAAAACATAAAATTTACCACTGGAATGAATTTCCTTTAAGTGCAAAAATTTTGAATGAAGTGATTTAATTATTTGTGTGTCCTTGGCAGAGGTCTAAGTTCAAGGTTTTAATGTTGTAAGCAAATACTTATATTATGGTTACTGTACCAAAGATGGTAAATGTGCACCACTGAGTTTTGCATAATAGACACAAATGCTGTTGTGCTGTCTTACAGATATAACAAAACAATACAGAAAAAGAATAAATAAGCAGCAGTTTTGTGATGTTTGAGTTTGTGTAATTTGTCAGCATGCTGCTATGAATATATAAATACATACTATATACATAAAGGTATGCTTTTTACAGTATGTATTTCTAGTAATATCCAGATAAAACCTCATTGAAATTGATTTGTATCCAGTTTTAGTCCAGATGTCGATCATGACCTTATAATATGGATATAATTCATTCTGTTATTTGAGGTCTATCACACTACAACCTTATAAGCTATTTGGAATGTAAATTTTTCAATCACTGAATGGCTAAGAAGCTTTCATCATTTTTTTTGTCTGCTTAAAGCAGATTTCCTTTTTATTTTTGATTCTCCCTCCCCCCCCAACTAATACATAGAGGATGTAAGAGCTCTCAAACAGATAGCAAAAAATCACTGCAGCATGTGTACATGGTTTTCAGTCTGAGTCACCATAAATTCCATATTGAATATCTGTTGAGGTGTGGCCTTTTCAAAGAGGGTGTTGGTCTTTCTAAATTGCTTCCATTAATCTTTAGCAGAATTGATAGAAGAAAGTTCTAGGGTGACATTTAAAAGAGAATAGATTGTGGATGATGGATAAAGAGCTCAGTGAACTTATAATGGATGTAAGTTAGTCATAATATGTTAAAAATCTTCTCTCGCTTTAGCAGGCTAAAATGTATAAAACAACACTCAGGAAGAGATTATAGGGAGAGCACTGAAATACAGTAGTTGCAGGAATCTCAGAATATCACCTTGTGATGTCATTGGTAGAAGCACCTTGTGATGTCATTGGAAAAGCACTCCAGAAGGTCGGAATACTAGTAATGATGTCACAAACCCAACTAGAGTCTCCTCCAGTGGAATGCTGCTCTAACAATTATTGCTTTGGGGGGCACTACTTCTAGAAATGACATTCAAAGCAATATTGTGGTAACTGTTATTTGAGAAAGCAGCAAAAAGTCCTTTGGCACCTCATGGACTAACAGACGTATTGGAGCATAAGCTTTCGTGGGTGAATACCCACTTCGTTGGATGCATTCACCCACGAAAGCTTATGCTCCAATACTCTGTTAGTCTATAAGGTGCCACAGGACTCTTTGCCGCTTTTACAGATCCAGACTAACACGGCTATTAGTTAACACGACTAACACCCCTGATATTTGTTATTTGAGTGAGAGAGATGAACGGAGAAATACATGCCAACCTGCAAAAAGTACTGTATTGCGGGAGTACCCATATTTTTCAGAATCTGTTATATAAGGATTAATAGTTAATCTATTCAGTGCCCTTTATAATTAATATTTTAAAGTCCTGGCTAAAAGTAAATTCAGAAATTAAAGAGACTTTTTCTAATACTTTTGTTATTTCAAAGTTTATTAACAGACACATGAGAACCACAATATAAAGTCTATATTTTAAAAATGTACATAGTTTGTTTATAGTGATGTTATAAAAATAGAAATGGAGCAACATCTTGTGACATTTTAAATCTTGATTCTAGAAGCAAGTACTCTCAGTCAATCATGTCAAAAATTTCCAAGCCACAGCCAATTGCAGTATATCATACTGAAGAGATGATTCCCACGGTTGGTTTATGGCCAAAGGAAACTACGCACAATGTGCTCATGGAAAAAAAAGGAAATACCCCAAATATTATTATAGCAGTAGCCTCACAATCAGAAAAGAATCTTTCAGACATTATCCAATTAAAACACCTGGATGAAGAAGTAGTGGGAATGCCTTGAATAGAATTGAAGCCAGATAATTAGAGTTGCCCATTAATTATTAGCAAGACTTCATTATACTCCACGTTCATCTTATGCATGAGAGTAGCTTTATAATGAGGTTAGGCGGCAATGAAAAATATCTTAAATTTTACCTCTGTAGTGTATTTTTTACTTCATTATAAGTTCAATGAAAAAACATTGATTTCTGTTATCTCTTATTGGCAAACTTTAGCTCAAGCAAGACTTAAAAGTTAAGATGATATGCTCAGTTTATATCTCTTGATACTTTCTTTCACTTCTTAACTATTGAGGATTAAGAAAAGGGGTCAGTGACCCCATATTCTTCATATAATCAAGAATGATCAGGAAATGTAGAACTAAATATAGAGAAAAGGGAAAGTTAGTGAATATATTTGCATATGCAAATTAGCTTAATTGATACTGCTTGCCTCTACAGGGATTTTTCATTACAAACTGGAGTGCTACATTGTTCAGCTCATATTGAGTAATTTAGTAACTAATGAGACCAGTTTGCACTAATTTGCATATGATAAATGAGCTTAATTGCAGTAAATAACTTGGAGGCATAATTACTTAATTTTCCTGTGTTGCACGGCTTTTAAGTTCACGTATGAACAACTCAAGATAATTTTGCATATTTAAATTAGTTGCTTTTAAAATATCTTGAACAAAAAAGAACGCACCTTAGGATTTGAACTGTAAAACAATTGAAAGTAAAGTTTACAGTATTTTCAGTTAAAATTTAGATAAGTTCTTAAACATGTGTTTTGTTTTATTGTTTTTTTATGCCAAGCTCTTACCAAAGTAGATATATTTGGTATTAAACACTCTGCAGTAAGTGTTAAATATAAGATTTGGAAAGAAAGATTCCAGTAACAATAATAACAGCAACTTTGTATCTAAATTGCAGTGATTCTTACTGACTGTATACTCCTGTATATAAGAGCAGTCACTTTTAAAAATTGATGTCAGTGCTGTGGAAGTGCCAGATTGACTGGTCAGCAACTGCAGTTTTTTTAATGGTGCATTAAATTACCGTACACAATTGCACAGGCAGTGCTTGTGTTAGATTCTACAAACTGCCGTACTGACCCCAGTCATGCCCCCATTATTTGCAGGTGGAGTGGAATTTTACTGATGTCTCCATCCTGTGCTGAAAAATGGCTCAGCTACTTTCTCAACAGCATTCGCTCTTTTCCTCAGGGCTTACAGAAGGTGGTCTGGGGGGATTTTTACATTGTCCTCATACCACCCTTGAAAAAATCAGAAAAACAGAAATCCACTTCAGATTGTGCCTCACCATAAGAGCTGGAAATTTCTCTTTCCTTCCTCTAAGGGTCGTCCTCATGATGTTTCTGGTCAACTGTGTCTCCTTGGCAGCATGGCTTAGAAGGAGACACACTGTCAAGGACCAAATCCAGAGCTAGTTGGGACTTGTGATGCTGCGGAAACTTCGTGTGTTAGTCCCTGGTCTCCTGTGGATTGGATGGGGATCTGCTTTGTTTTTGTGCATGCTCCGTGACCTTTTCTGAACTAGGGAAACTCCAATCCTTTCGTGGAATGGTAGAGGAGAAATTTCCACAAGTAATTCTTAGTGGAGATTTACTCTTCTTTCGCTCCATTCTATAGGATCTCACAGGGGATTGGGGCCATTGAGTTTACTTCAGCTTTTCTGCATTTAAAAACTCAAAACAACACAAAATCCACCCATGGATATAAGAAGTCAGCTGCATTGCTGATAACATTTTACACAATTTACATTAAATTACATATTTTCATGGAGAAGCTAAGAGCCATATATGTTTTGTTCTTGATTCACAAATACAGTGCCCAGAAAACCCATTTGTCAGCAAGTATGTGAGAATGTAGTACAAACAAATCTGTGTGGTCTAATAAAGGGTACTTTCTTGACTCTTAAATGTATTCTGTTTGTTGCCAAATGTAGGGGTACACTTGTAATGAAAT